TTGATGTTATGTTTCTGTTTGTCCCAATTCTTCTATAGGTGAACGTCTTCTTCTATATGCAAGGGTAGTTTGTATAAGCTGCTGCACCGTCCAAATATCCAAATTGATGAAAAAAGGCGGATAAGAATGGCTCTTGATGTGGTATTAGCAAGAACTGTGTTGTTAAGGCTTGGTCTAATGATTAATATTTAGGACATTTTCGGTATGACACTGGACCTACCTTTCCTCCCCACTGATTTATTCTCTCATGCGTGGCTTGCTAATCTCTATTAAAACTTAAAACAAATGAATAACTATTTAATTCCTTTTCATTTGATTATTAAAACTAATTTTTATACAAACAATACCTTACTTATATTAAAAAAAAATGCATTCAAATCACTCCACACTATTAAATACCCAATTAAACTATACAACACGTGCATTGCACGTGCTCACACTAGTTGTATTTATAAGAGTCGGAAAATAAGTCAAAATCGCATCCGATTATTTCGACTGAAAATTGATTTGTTCAAATACTTCTACTATATTTCAATCATTTGACATCCAACTGCATCCAATTGATCCTATATGATCTTCAATCATCGTTTTTTTGTCCGAATTAACTATTGGATTACACTTTGGTCCCCAACTTTGGATTTCCTTCGTTTTCGCACGTTTTTCGTTCATTTCTTTCAAATCCATCAATTTGCATTGAGTTCAAATCTAAATCACTAATAAATACTATAATTTAATGGCATAGATAAATGTATAAAACACAATTATCAAACACCCCTAAACTTGAACATTTGTTTGTCCTCAAACAAAATTATAACCTAACTTAATAAAAAATTTTAAACACGTATGGTTAGATAATTTGTCTTTGGTCTCAGGATTGAAATATATGTATTAAAAGTTTGAAACTATAAATTGTTACAAAATCACAATGTTAAAATTAATTTTTACTCATCCAATACAAAATCGACGTGTGTGTGAAAATTCATGTCAAACATCATAAATTTATAAAGTGATTCAAATTCCAACCCTCAATAGTCAAATACTTCATTTCTTCACTCATAAGATTCACACTCCAAACTTAATCTTTTCACTCTTTTCCCAATGTATGAAATAAAGTTGAATATTTATATAATTCTAATCATCACCTCTCTAGTTTAGTTAGATCTTACTAATTGCAGCTCAACACATCAACAAATGAGGATTCTCCTTTTTTTTAATTGTTTCAACCTCCTAGAATCAACTAAATTAATAATCCATTGTCAAAAGTTTAAATTCTCATGTAATAAGCTTTTTTTTTCTTTTTTCCTTATGTGCGGACTTCTCTCCATTAAACTTTCTAAATGACCCTTGTAGCGAGCTTTTGATCGATGACTCTCAAATCAGGTGACTATAGGACACCAAGTTTTAGATACCCTTGCAGGTTTAATCATTCAAGTCATAATAGATACGAATAGAAGTTTCACAATAAGACAATATTTTTCCTTCTCTCTCTCTCTCTCTCTTTGGGGCAATGATTAGTGCAATATTCCTTATTAAACACTTATTCTCAAAAATCAAGCTCTAACTTAAGATTTTCACCTAATTTTCATTTTATTGGCATTAGACAATCGACACAAAATTTAGCACATATGAAATCCACATTTATCTCAATGTCTCCCTACAGCAGCCCAGTCACCCACAAACTATCCTACAATTGGTTTAAGGATGTATAATTTAGTGGTTACTTGGATTTAGCATTTAAGGCACACTAATTAAATATTTTTTTCAACCTATTCAAATTTTGAATCAAACTATTTCTTGACGATGCGGAACATAAATTTTGTGCATAAAATAGCAAGTTTCGCACGAAAAACTGCAACCTTTTCACAATTTTTAATCAAATATATAGTTCCGAATATATGCATCATAGTAGGCAAATTCATCTAACACACACAAGCACACAAAAATAAAAATAAGCTGAAAATATTTTTTTTATATTTTTTTTGCATTAGAACAAGCACACAAACTAATAAAAAACTCAATGTTTTTCTACCTCCAAACTTATAACAGATATTACCCTCAATGTCTAAAAATATAATAAGTAATATATAAAAATTAAGGGTAAAAAATGAAACTAAGTACTCCCCTGATATATATATTTGAAGGTGGTGGATGGAATGGCATGAAAATTCTATCTCACTTGCTATATCTTTTCCCTTTGTTCAGTGTGTTCAAGTGTCATGTTTCTTTAAAATATTAAAAATCAATCATAACATGGAACAATTTATAGTAAACTCATACACACCCTAAAGGAAAATATGAGAATGAAAATGCCCTATATTACTAAAAAGAACTACCAATCCTCTATTCTAGAAAGCAAAATAAATAAAAGGGAAGAAAATTTGCTTGCCTCCTAATAAGCGCTTGTTTATAGTCATTAGCTTGCCTTTATTGTTTTATGGTGGCTTGAAAAGAGAGTTTTCAGTCTTGCATCGGCTGAACTGACAGTTGTTTCTTAAGTCATCTTTAATCCCTCGGATTATAAGATTTTCATTGTTGTCCCACCCAAGATTGCACCTTCTTCCTTCTTATTCTTGTTAATTCCCTAAGGATAGATCTTTCGGAATTTCTCAATGTCAACTGGTTGCTTGAGTGGACCATTCATTGTGAAGATTTGTTGTTTTTCTTCCACCCTTAAGATTAACTCATCTTTTTCAAAATTTATTAATGCTCGTGCAGTTGCTAAGAATGGTCTCCGCAAAATTAACGGGATATGTTGAGCATCTATATTAAGGATAATGAAATCATCTGGAAAATAGTGATCTCCAAATTTGATGAGTAAATTATCTACCATTCCATAAGGATGCTTGAATGTCCTATCAGCCAACTGTAGGATTATTGATGTTGCTTTTGAATCATCCAATCCTAATTTTCTGTAGATAGATAGTAGCATCAGATTAATACTTGCTCCAGAATCAATTAAGGCATTTAAATTATGTGAATTTCCTATAGAGTAAAGTACAATGAAACTCCTTGGATCTTTTAATTTAGGAGGGAGCATCTGCTTTATGATTGCGCTGCACTCTTCAGTCAATGCCATTGTTTCATCTACTAACAACTTTCTCTTATTAGTTAACATCTCTTTTAGAAACTTTGTGTGTAATTTAGAATTTGTTGAATGGTGTCAATGAAAGAAATGTTGATGTGAAGTTGTATGAGTGCATTAAAAAACTTCTTAAATTACTTTTCCAGCTTATTGTTCTGCAACTTTTGAGGGAATGGGACTGGAGGTGTGTGTTTATTAACATGAACAATTGCTTTAACCTGTGGACTGTCCGACTTTTCTTCTTGTGGAATTGTTTATTATTCAGATTGAACCACTTTTTCTAGCAGCTGGTCTTTTCACTATTTTTTTGGTAATTGAACTCCTCTTCGAGTAGTGATGGCCCGTACCTGTTCTTTATGACTTGTCTCTGTGTTTCTTGGTAAGTTCCGTTGAGTTCTCCCGCTAATGTAGCTGCCGTCTGACCTATCTGAGTTTCCAAATTTTTAATTGCAGCCTACTGGTTCTGAATAATTGCCTATTGGTTTTGGAAATTAGTATCACTCTTAGTAATGAATTGAGTTAATAATTCCTCAGTCAATGTCTTTCTGTTTTGCTACTACCGTTGTTGTTGGAATCTCGTCGATCTTGCTTGTCCTCCTTGTCCTTGACTTTGATTGTTAGTCCACGAAAAATTTGGATGATTTATCCATCCCAGATTATATGTCTTGGAGTGGGGGTTATTCTATTATCTCTGAAAATTTTGCGCATAACTAACCTTCTTAGGCTGAATTATATGCGTTGAGGCTAAATGACATTTTTCTGTAGTATGATATATCCCGAAACATTCACAAACTGGTTTCGATTGGTGTATCATGTTCACATTCTGAATATAGCTGTCTAACCTCATTGTCAATGCTTCCATTTGGGCTGTTAACGATGTAATTATGTCAATGTTTTGTATTTCTACTATTTTCCTCGACACTTCCCTGTCTATTGGCCACATGGATTGTTTCTCCGCAATTCTCTCAAATAGGTCTAAGGTGTTGTCCAATGGAATATCCAATATTGACCCTCCTGCTGAAGCATCGGCTATCTTGCAGAATTTAGGTCTCAAGCTTGAATAGAATATGTAGATCTTAGAGTCTTTATGAATGTTCAGATTAGGAGACTTCCTGAAGTAATCTTTGCATCTTTTCCAAACTTCTGGATAGCTCTCGAGGTTTCTTTGCTTGAAAGTACGGACTTCATTTTTGAGTTAATGGACTCGAGAAGGTGGGAAGAATTTCAAAGTGAATTTCTGCACCATGTCATTCAATGAAACTATGCTACCAATAATTAGTAAATTGAACCATTCTCCTGAGCCATCCTTCAAGGTGTGAGGGAATAAAGCAGTCGAAAAGCATCTACAGACATGCTTTCATGACTAATCTTGTCGCAGAGCATCAAGAAGGCTTGAATATGTTCATGAGGATTTTTAGCCGATCTTCCAAAGAACCTCATGTCGTGATGATTCTAAAATAAGTTGATGATGTCGGTCTGATGTGGGAGTTAGTTGTCCAAATGGTGCATATAGATAGATGTACATGAGTAGGAATGGGATTTACATAATCCCCCACTAAAGCTTCTCCATCATTTACTACTGCCCTTAACTAATCTAGCTGAGGTAATGGTAATGGATTCTGTACCTGATTTGGATTTTGATTTTCTGTTATTTCCCTTGCTTCCCTCTATTATCTTGTTTGTTGTTTAAATATTCTTTCCATTTCGGGATCTATTGGAAGAAGCTCGATCTCGTCAGAATATTGCATAAACTATGCTTTCCTGAAAAGAGTAATAACAAGAGACTTAGTCCGTTCAAGAAATAATAGAAAACAAGTAAAAATTTCAAATCTAAAAATAACTAATAAACTCAAATTAAATAATTTTTTTCCTCGACAACGGCACCAAAAAAATGTTCGTGCAAAACCCGTAAGCATACGTGATCGTTGACAAGTAATAGAATTGATGAGTGAGAGTATCGTCCCATAGGGAATAAATTCAACTCAAGTTTACTAGCTTTTATGTATTCGAATTATGCAAATAAAAGAAAGTTTGATCTTGTTTTATATTAAATTAATCTAAGAAAGCGGTAAAAATGTGGTTTTTATCAATTTATAGATGATTGTATTGGATTTCGAATACGCCTATTGCTATTTCAATTCTTAATTCGTAATCTAGTCTCGTTCATACGTTTTTGACAATCGACAAACTATGATATATAATTTTATTTTCCAAGATAAATTAAATCTATCTTAAACACGGCCTGAATCTATTCATAGTCTGAATTCAAATGATTAGAATGAATTGAAATTTAAATTATCTATATGATTGTACATGTGATAAACATTGTTCCTAATATTTATTGGACATATGTTAATTTTGTCCTGTATTATGAGTCTTTCAACATTATAATAAGCAACTAATTATCTAATTGGTAGCCAACCAATTAAATAATGCAATGTATATGCAAAATTAATCAAGAAACACAAGAATTAAACTAAACTACTAAATTACAAGAAGAGTAATAGAAAAATATCACCAGATTATGAAATAATTCAAAGATATTGATCTAAGTTCACAGCTGAATTTTTCAAAATTTTGATGAAATTGACATTTAATTCCTTACTAGGGTTTGATCTCCTCTCTCAAAATATAATAATTGGCCCCTTATTATTGATGAATTTGATGATATTATTGTATATGAAGAGTTAAGAGAGGATTTTTTTAAAGTGTAACCCTTGTTTTGTATTTATAAGAGTCAGAAAATAAGTCAAAATCGCGTCCGATTTAGGTTGTAAAAGAGTTTGAATCACGAAAGGAAATTGCTGATTCATTTGTGGAAATGGCCCAGCGTGCACTAGCATAACAATCACGTGCGTGCCATAGAGGCAAATTTCTCTTGGGTTGGGGAAAATAGGGTACCGCACGGGCCATAAGAATTGCCCTGCGTGCGAGAAGCTTCGCTTCGGTTTGTCTGTGAATAACTTTCGGTATTTTACCATAACTTTCTCTGTAGATATCCGATTGAGGTAATTCAAAATATATTGGAAGGATAATTCAAATGGATAAAATACTTCTATAAATATAAATTTTCCAATTTGAACATTTTCTATCTTAAAAATGGATCTCAATTTGAGGCTAAAAACTCGGAGTATAACTTCTTCGACTGAAAATTGATTTGTGAAAACGCTTCCACTATATTTCACTCATTTGACCTCCCATTGCATCCAATTGATCCTATATAATCTTCAATCATCATTTTTTGGTCCGAATTAAATATTGGATATTTACACTCTGGTCTCCAAACTTTGAATTTTCTTCGTTTTTGCACGTTTTTCGTTCATTTCTTGTAAATCCACCAATTTACATTGAGTTCAATCTAACAAACATAATTAGCACAAAATTAAGCTATAGCTTATCTAAATCACTGACAAATACTCTAATTTAATGGTATAAATAAGTGTATAAAATACACTTATCACACCACGTCTCTTCTCCTAACCTAAGTGGATAATGGATCTCCACCTAACAAAAGTGATAGAGGTACATCTCTCACACTCCACCTGATTGGGGTCTCTTCACAGATAAACGATTCCAACATTTAATCACCTATTCACTTGTGATCCAAATGTCAGAGTCAGTCAGACTCCATATCACCAGTACAAACCACCAATGTATCCCTAGACATATATATTCCACATCACTAATAGACACTCAACACACTGCTAATGCATCTCAAACCCACTATGGTAAATCAACACATTGTGATCACAAAGGTTAGGGCTCAATCTAAATCGACCAACGCACCACAAGATTACTCCAACACCAATACTCAAAAAAGACGACAAAGGATAGGGTGATGGTGACACTCACAAAGAGAATAGAAGAAAGAATTGGTTACTTCACCAAACTCTCTCATACCACTCACAAAGCAAAATGAGTATGCCATATATCTCAACCTACTATGAATGCAAACACATTCCACAAAGTAATCAGATTGCTCTCAAATTCATGCAAATGCATATATCAAACATATTGAAATGCATATATGGTTATGCAACAGAATTAAGCAATCACACACATGCGGAAATGATTACACAAGGATGCACATGAAGTAACTTAGTTTATTCTCAATAAACCTCACTAGGGTCATCACTCGACCGATAGCCACATTTGTCTCGCCTCTCTCGTTATCTTTCCTTTTATTATCATTCCTAGGACAACCTATTTCACCATGTTCAAATTTACCGTAATTTAAACATATCTTACTTTTCTCACTTGTCTTAGATCTACATTTTCCATCAAAAGTTTTATAAAAAACCTTTTTGTTTTGTCAAATTAAAAAATTACACTTTTCATTAGAAAATCACTACTCAAAATGTGTTGTCATTTTACAAAAAAAATGCACAAAACACAAAATGTAACCGATAGGAATGTAAAATAACATTTTACATCTTTATTTAATGCGTTCATATGACTATTTTATACCTAAATGTACTTAGTATTCTCATATTTTGGTTTATGTGGCAATTTAATGAATATGAAGTTATTTAGAAGAAATAAGGGGAAATGACCAAATGAAAGAAAGCGAAAGTTCGGGAAACAAAGTAAAAATATTCAAAAGATGTATCGACCCTCATGATGAAGACATGAGAATGTTAGAGGTCAATTGAATGAAGAAAGAAGTCAAATGGATGAATATAGCAAAGACATTATCACCTATCAACTTTCAAGTTGAAAAGTTTTGCATCGATTTTTAGCCTCATATTGAGACCAATTTTGGACATGTAAAACGATCTAATTGGAAGATATTTTTGAAGTAAAGTTGTAGCCCTTTAAGTTATCTTTCTAACGCATGTTGAATCACCTCAATTGGATATCGGTAGAGAAATTTATGGCCAAAATACTGAAAACTATCCAGCGGAAAAAAATGACAAAGTCATGCGATCGCATGGCACAAATACCATGTGGTCGCCCATTCTTTTACCGAGAATTGGGAGGCTAGAAACTGCATAACATGCGATTGCATGGTTTATAACCTTGTGATCGCATGT